TGCTGACAGTTCCACAGGAAATTGGAAGTGGAGACAATATCACATAAAACAAACAATTAAAAAAAAAAAGATCTTCTGCTCAAGCAGAAAGATGTTCTCTGCATTTCTAAGAATTCAGTCCAGAGATCTTCAACCAATGTGGTTTGTAGTTTCCCTCCAGTCCTGCAGAGTCTACCAGGGCCTCCAGGGGGCGCTGCAGACTGGACTCTGGTCTTTGTGGATGCTGGTCTTGTCTGTGGAGCTCAGAGGACAGAAGTCAGCCTCTCTCAGGTTCTTCTCAGACTGCAGCTTGTTGAAGTGGTCCAGCAGTCTTCTGCGGGACTGGATCTTCTCCTGGTCTTTGGACAGGAAGTGCACCACCTCTTGGACACATCTGGAGTAGCCCCGATCAGCAGCTGCTGAGTCCACAGCTGGATGCTGCTGCTGCTGCAGTCGTGTCAGGAAGCAGACGGTCATCTCCAGGATGTCTGCTTTCTCCAGCTTGGAGTCTGGCTGCTGTTTGAGGAGCTCTGGAGGCAGGAGAGACCTGAGCTTCTCGATGCTGCTGTTGATCCTCTCTCTGCGTAACTTCTCCACCAGAGGCTTCCTGAGCTGCACAAACAGGAGTAACATCATTAATAAACGTATATTCTATAGGTGCATATCAGTAAACATAAATAAATGATAAGTGACTTTGCATGAATCTCATATTCACCTTGTGCTTCAGACTCAGATGCTCCTGAAAGTTGCTCCACACGGTAATGCTTGGTGCCATGGTGGATCTGTGGAGGTCTCTGTGGAGAGAACCTGATCTCTGCTGCCTTCATCCCTCCTATTTATACTCCTTCATCTCCATTTGAATGTGTGGATTATGGTCTGGATGAAGTTTCCCACAGTTTGGACCAATCAGAGAGGTCTGTAAGATAATGGGACGTGTGGAGCAGCATGCTGTCATTATTGCTCAGAGGATAATGGGTCGATTTCAGGGGAGCAGGTGGAGGAGGCTCAAAGAGCTCTGCATCCATGTGGGAAAGTGGTGACCCTGCAGAGGTGCTGCTGGGAACTGAGATTAAAAAGTGGCACACTCATCATTATTAACAAACAAACAAACAAACAAAAATTCTTAAAATCGTGTCTTTCATCAGCGACATGCAGAAAATAACTCATAAAGCTAATATTTTAAAACCAAGTTTGCATTTTCGAATAAAAGAAAAGTCAGTTTTTATAAGCAAAATGTCTGATGTTTAATATTCAACAACATGATCTAAAGTGAGTACATGTGTTGAATGTGAAGACGTCCAGATGCTGGTGAGTCAGTTGGCACGTGCCCTGGAGTCGGTGTGAGTAACGGGCTGAGCTGACGTTCCCACACTGACTCCAAGGGCTGGTCAGTGATCCACAAAAGGGATTTCCGAGACAGATGCTGATGGCTTTCTGTTGCCATAGCAACAGCAATGCATCACTAGCCATCTGGAGGGAAAGAACCCCATTGGATGGCACGAAGGGCTTGTCGAATATGAAATGTTGTCCTTAAGTTTGAATAAAAACGGTCTTGGGTTTCAGAATTTGTTTTCTCACTGAGAAAATTCTGTAAAATTTAGCTTTGAGAGCAAAAAAAAAAAAGCAGTTTTAGTGATTGTAGAATGATTTTTGGGAATAATTTGTCTGCTGGTGCAGAGATTTTCACCCAAGTCAGGAATAATTTTACTCCTTTTTTTTTTTGCTAAAAATAAACATTTTCAGAAATCTTACATTCAAATAAAAACTCACCACCTCATCCACCTGTAAAAATTTAACAAGTTCTGTAAATGTTCAAGGGTTATACGGCAGTTTTAGATTTTCCAGTTTGACAAATTTGTCCATTCAGATCATGATTTCTGTTTCAGCATGTAGAGATGATGCACGACAAACTCTGCGAGCAGACTAAAGTCAAAATCTAACAAACTGAGCCAGCACACGTTACTGATTTATCACTGAAGGGGCATCTTGAAAAGTACTCACAAAGGGTTTCATATGTGAAAAAGTACTTTTTCCTCCATATAAGGTTCAATATTCAGTTGATATCATGTTTGTCTCTGCTTTCTTCTTTTGTTCAGTTTTATACAATAAATGTACCAAGTGACAAAAGTCAGCTGCAGCTCGCTCACATTCATCACGATAAGATCCGATCAGCTCCATAAGTTTGGACTCCTGCTACAACATGTATCATGTTTTGATGCACAGAATGACAGAACGTCATGGATATGACAGAAAAACAAAAACTATAAAGTCCAGTTCAATTTAGTTGAGAAGTTAAATGAGATTATTATTGAGAGACTGTGTCTTTGTTAAATTCAAAAGTTTAGTTTTTAAAATAAGCTTTATTCTTGAAATAAACTAGAATAAAAGTTCATAATTAGGAGCATTAAAACTGCGCTCATTATAACTAAATGAATTGCATTTCCTGCGAAAATGCAGTGTGAATGCTTTTTGCAGAAGAACTTGCTGAAAACAAACTGCTGAAATGGAACTGAAATGGAAGAACAAGACTACTTTTGCAGAAGGAAGCAGAAAGAACACATATTTGCTGAATTAGCTTTGAAAAAGCAAAAATGAGCACAAAAATTAAGAAATAAGCTAAAAAAAAAAAAGAGGATGGAATTAGCAAAAAAATTGCTGAAAGTAGCTGAAAAGGTTTAAGGAAGCTTAAACTACCAGAAGGAAGTGGAAAGAGCTGAAATTAGCTCCAAAATGTGGAATCAGCTGAAAAATCTAAAATTAGCATAAAATCAGCTAAATGGTATCTGAAATAGCATAAAAAGCTGAAACTAGCAGAAATAAGCTGAAATAAGCATAAAGAAGTTAATTAGGCTGAAAGTAGAAGAAATTACCAAGAAATTTTGAATATCTGAAAACAGCTGAAATTAGCTAAAAATGCTAAAAAGCTAGCTGGTAGAACAAGCTTAAATTAGCAGAAGAAAACAGAAAGAACGCAAGTTTGTCCAATTAGGCTGAAAGAAGCAGAAATGAGCACAAAAAAAGTGGAAATTATCTTTAAAAAAACTGAAATTAGCAACAAACAGCTAAAAAGAAACTAAGAAGGCAGAAAAAAGCCTAAATTACAAGAAGGAAGTGGATAGAGCACGTATTTGCTGAATTAGGCAAAAAAAAGTTTAAATGAGTACAAAAAATGTGGAATTAGTTGAAAAAGCTAAAATTGGCATAAAACAGCTAAATAGTAGCTGAAACAGGAGAAAAAGCTGAAACTGGCAGAACTAAGCTAAAAGGAGCATACCAAGCTGAAATTAGCAGAAAGAAGTTAGAAGAAGCACAAAAATGTAGTTAGCAGAAAGAATCTGAAAGGAGCAGAAAACAGCTGGGGAAAAGACAACAGCTGAAATTAGTTGAAAATAGCTGAAAAAAAGTTTACATTTACACAAGGAAGCTGAATCAGAGCAAAATGTGAAAGGAGCAGTGAAAGGTTCAAACAGAACTAAAGATATGAAGGATGTAAAATCAGCTCAATTCATTTTCTATGAGAAAAAAACGGCAAAAAAGGCTAAATATTTAAAAAGCTAAAGTTGCACCAATACCAAAAGTCATAGTCCTGAAAGAGCTGAACGTTTTGATTTACGATTGGTTGAAATAGCTTCAAAACTGCAGGATGAGAATCGTGCTGGGGGGGAAATAAGGATCGCAAAAGTGTGAATGCTTGATAAACATTCAGACAATAAACAAGAACTGATGAATACAAATAAAAACACGCTTCCCTCATGTTGTCTGTATGTGATGCAGCCCTCACTCATCTTCATGTTTTTATTCTGCTTTGCTGAAGTGCACGTTCAGCTTCAGCCGTTTTCAGCCGAATCAATGTGTCTCTGGTTGGTGGTGATGCTGAAACCAGCTCCGACCAGCTAATTTAATTTGAAACAAGTATCCACTTTAACCCGCGTCCCTTCAGGGCCAGAGGTCTGGATCTATTGTCCCTCAGCGGCCCTGTGAGGGACTTTATTTTGCTTTCCCACACTCCGTCCTTTCACCGCAGGAACAATAGAAGAAATCCTCGTTGTGCTTAATAACCCACTTTCAGTAGAAGTGTTGTTTGAATCACTGCTTCAATTAATACTGAACACGTTTGCAAACTAGCTAACTAGAATAATATATATATTATGTCAATCAAATGGGAACGATATCTACTGAAAACATGATCTCAAAACATCACAATCAGACAATTGTTCATTTTTTTATGTGTTTATTTAAAAAAAAAAAGGCAAACTTAACCACACGAAGTGGCTTTAATGGTGATGATACATCAAACAACTTGTAGATTTTACAAGACACGGTGTATTCGCATACACTAAACTAACTTTGTCTTTACAAAAGACGAACAGCTAACCTGAGGACAGAACCTCCTTTGACTTGTGTAAAAACAAACTTTACACGTCATGAACAAAACAATGTCTGACCTTGGAACAGATCAAATCAAACTCTTCAACCACTAACTTCATTAATGGCGTCAACATGGTCAGAATAAAACTGACGTCAAACATTTTATTAATCTTTAAACAGATCTTTCACTAATCCCGTGAAACGTCCAAAAATGAACATATTGGATCAGAACTGATCAAAAATAGAATGATCAGTGTGTGTGACCGACACTGACGCAAACCTTTCAGGAGGGAAAGATAAACGTTTGGATCTTTGAACAGATCAGTTCGCTGTGATCAAAAAGATTACGAGTCCATTATTATTACTTTTTTTTTTTTTTTTGTGAAAAATACGTTTTCTTTGTCTGATCACTTGGATCAATAAAAATAAAAAGGTACCTCAACAAAACTTGATGTACAAGAAGAAATATTATTTGCTAATGCAAAAAGAGTCATTTTGTGCAACATGCATTAAAATCAGCGTCATTTCCTCAGAAAACTAAATCATTTGAAACAGAAAAACAGTTTCTCTACAAAGAAACAAACAAAAAAATGTGATGTTTAAAAAAAACAAAACAGTTTAGTTATCTTTGATCAATATGATCAGTTGGTCTGGGTGTTGATTAAGTCTGTATGTCGGTCTACCAGGGCCTCCAGAGAGGGCTTTTCTCTGGATTCTGGTCTTTGGTGCTGCCGGTCTGGACTGTGGAGCTCAGAGCAGAGACGTCGGCCTCTCTCAGGTTCTGTTCGCAGGACGTCTGCAGCTTGTGGACGTGGTCCAGCAGCCGGCTCTGCTGGTGGTTCTGCTGCAGAAGCCGTCTCATGAAGCAGACGGTCATCTCCAGGATGTCCGCTTTCTCCAGCTTGGAGTCTGGCTGCTGTTTGAGGAACTCTGGAGGCAGGAGAGACTTGAGCTGCTCGATGCTGCTGTTGATCCGCTCTCTGCGTAACTTCTCCACCAGAGGCTTCCTGAGCTGCACAAACAAGAGCAGAGTCATGAATACACTTAGTCTACAGCGTTGGACCATTATCAAGTATAAGAACCCTCTGAACTGATGATGTGTTCTCCAGAAAACTTCTAGTTACCTTGTGGTTCAGAGCCAAGTGATCCTGAGAGCTCGTCCACGTTGCAGTGATTGTTGGAGCCATGTTTTGGTCTCTGAGCTGTAGAGGTCTCTGAAGAGAGATTCTGATCTCTGCAGCCTTCGTCCCTCCTATTTATAGTCCCACATCTTCGTATCAATGTGTGAGTCTTGCTCTGCCGGAGGTTTCCCACAGTCTGACCCAATCAGAGCGCTCGCTCAGACAATGGGGGCATGTGGAGCACCAACATGCTGCCGTTAATGCCTGGAGGATAATGGTTAGATTTCACAGGAGCAGGTGGAGGAGGCTCAAAGAGCTCTGTGTCAATGTGGGAAAGTGGTGACCCTGAAAGCTGATATGCCGTTTAAGGCTGAGCTCAGATTCTCTGAATTAGGAAGCTTTTATTATCCCAGCACACTTTTTATACTATAAAAGTGGAAAACATCTTATAATGCGAGTCACTGTGACTTAAAATAACGTGCAGGCTGTTTGCTCTTGTGTTTTTTGATTGATAAATGTAAACCGAGCGGGATACAGATTTACTTTAAATACAGCTTAATACGTTTTAAAACATTATTTACAATAATAATTTTTAAAAAATGATTAGTTCACTAGAAATAACTTATGATAATAAACATGCAGTCCGGTCTTGGCACGTGCCCTGCTGTCAGCCCGTGCACAGTATAATTACTACCCTCGACACGTGCCTTGTTGTCGGTGTGAGTAGTGCGGTGATGTGAGTTTCCCACACCAGCTCTGGGCTGTGATCAGTGAAGCACAAAGTCTGGGACAGGTGTTAGCTCAGGAAACAAACCATTACATCACCAACCATCTGGAGGGACAAACATCCCACTGGCTGCCTTTAAGACTCTGCACAGAGAAACGCTTTAGTGGTAACATGTTCTAAAGTAAAAGGCAAAAGGGGTGCGTGTCCGATTTTAACGCAATGATTACATGGTACAGAAAGTATTTACAAATGCAAAGATTTCACCTCAGAAAGTTAAATTCTGTGAAAACAGCAATTTCCTAAAGTGTTTCAAGATCTTCAGGAGAACTGCTGGTTTTTAATGGATCCGTTTAAACAGAGTACAGTAGTATGATTCAAATCTTTATTGCTGCTTGCATGGTCAAACTTTCCTCAAAAATATTTTGATTTCTGATTTTAGGGGTACATGAGACCATCCATCCATCCATCCATCCATTATCTTTACCCGCTTATTCCATTTTGGGTCACGGGGGTCGCTGGTGCCCATGTCCAGCAATCACTGTGCGAGGGGTGGGGTACACCCTGGACGGGTCGCAAGTCCATCACAGGGACACATAGAGACAAACAACCATTCACTCTCTCACTCACACCTAGGGACAATTTAGAGTCACCAATCAGCCTAACACGCATGTTTTTGTTCTGTGGGAGGAAACCGGAGTACACGGAGAAAACCCACGCATGCACGGAGAGAACATGCAAACTCCACCCAGAAAGGCCCCTGGACCGGGGTTTGAACCAAGGACCTGCTCGCTGAGAGGCAGCAGCTCTACCAGTTGCGCCACCGTGCTGCCCAGTACATGAGACCGTTAAACTTTAATGAAGTCTAGTGGTTTGGGCAAAACTCACTCAAACAAAAGTATTCAAAAAAAAAAAAAAGATTATAGGATGACAAGAAATACATTAAATAAAGCACAATTGTAATTATTTAGCAATTGTGCAGTTTTGTGGGCGGTGCCATTCTTTTAAAGGGCTGTGCCTGATGAATATGTCTGGAAAACAGGAAAGTTTGATTTTCCACCCTTTTTATTGCTTGTTTTTTTGTTTGTTTGTTTGTTTGTTATTCAGTTTAACAAATGTTAAGACAGTTTTTACAGTAAAGCAGTTTTACGAGGAAACATACATTCTATAGCTCCATGGTTCCTAACCCTGGTCCCTGAGGAACACCGTCCTGCATGTTACAGTTGTTTCTTGCTCCAACGCGCCTGATTCAGTGATTTCATTACTTCCTCATGTTCTGCAGAAGCCTATCACTCACTCATTCAAGTCAGGTGCATCAAAGCAGGGAAACGAGTAAAAGATGCCGGATGGTGTTCCTCAAGGATCACAGTTGGGAACCACTCAAAATATACTGTATAATAAAACAGTTTTAGTTTAGTGTGCAGCAGGTTTCTGTTCTTAAAATCCTCTGTTTCTATAATCTTCTTAAATGATTTAAAGAAAACTCTTGAACACCATCTGGAAATGTTCTCAAAATATGATCCAAAAACAAACATTTCTTTTAGTTGAACAATGAAAACTGGAGTTAAAGTATTTTAGTTGATACCGATTGGTATGATCCCATCATTTCAGAAAAGTGACATTTATTAAAAAACAAGTTGAGTTTTTGGAGTCAGGCTCTTGTTTAATCTCTGCTCCTTTGGGGGCAAAGGTCTGGGTCTATTATCCCTCAGCGGCTGTGAGTGAGTCTTTTCTAGTTTCCCACACTCCGTCCTTTCACCGAAGGACAAAAGAAGTGTGCCTCATTATGCAAAACAGAACCCGATCATGACCTCTGAAGGGAGGGTTACGGTTAAACTCATCCTTTCACTGAAACATCCGAACATGATGGTGAGGAAGAGCTCATAAACTGTATCATTTTCTTTTGTTTAAATGACTAAATGTTCTTAAAAGGCACGAGAACATTAACTTTGTTGTTTTATTACATGAACATATTAAAGGTGGATAAAACAATTATACCTTTACGTAACCTTTATTAAACCAGGAAAATCCCATTGCGATCACAGATCTCTTTATAATGATAACGTTTTTAGTTTTTATCATATTTAAATAGTCTCAAAATATTATATATTGTATTATTTTTGATTGTCATTTTCTCTAATGTGACTTTTCTCAGCTGGGGTTCAGCAAAGTGTTTTTTTTTTTTATCTGATCTTATCTTAACTCATCTTGTCTTTTTGAGTGATGGCAAAAAGAAAGCAAATACTTTTCAACGGTGGCGCTTTATTTCACAACTTCCTTATGAAATAAGTCAAAAAGAGCCACCAAATGGGTGAAAGTTTCATTATACTGAAAAATAGAAATCAACAAAACCGTGTTTTCAGAGTGTGGAGGAACAGCTGTCTTCATTAAAATCAATTTTAGTTAATTCGCCTTCCTGTCGTTTGATCTCCAAGTAATAGAGTGATCTTTAACCAGAACACATAATTCTTAATATGTGATTTAACTGTGATAATCACAAACGGATGCAGGCAGGTTTACAACAAATGAACTTTGTACATTTTTTCTTTAGACAAAGAAGCTAAGCATCAGAATCAGACAGTGAAAATTTGTTTAAGTTATAAAAATGTTCAGACTGAGTCAGTTTTGTGGACAGGTGTCTGTGCTGGTCCTGTTAGACCTTAGTGCTGCATTTGATACAGTTGATCACAGTATTCTATTTAAGAGACTTGAATATGACATTGGAATTACTGGAAAAGCTCTAAATTGGTTTAAATCATATTTGATAGATTCCAATTTATAAATGTAAATAATGAATCTTCTTCATGCACTAAAGTTAGTCATGGAGTTCCTCAGGGTTCAGTGCTTGGACCAGTACTATTTACCTTATGCTTCCATTAGGTAAAGTTATTAAACAGCATTGGATAATTTTTTATTGATATGCTGATGATACAGTTATATTTGTCCATGAAACCCAATGAATCCAATCAGTTATTTAGACTAAGCATGTCTTAAAGACAAAAAATCTGGATGACGCTACATTTTCTGCTTTTAAACTCAGACAAGACCGAGGTTGTTGCTTTTATACCTGAGCATCTTAGGAATAAATTTTGCAGTCTTTCACTTTCTCTGGATGGCAAAAATCTGTCTTCCAGTTCTAATATTAAAAACTTTAGTGTTATTTTTGATCAGGACATGTCTTTTAACCACCACATTAAAAACGTTCTGTATCTCTCCAGTTTCAGCTTCTCTCTGTTGGTTCCCTGTCTATTTCAGAATTGAATTCAAAATGTTACTTCTAACATACAAAGCTCTCAACAACCTAGCTCCATCTTATATTACAAATCTTATTGTTCCATACTTTCCTAACGTAGCACTTTGCTCTCAAACTGCAGGTTTACTTGTGGTTCCTAGTGTTTCCAAAAGTAGACTTGGAAGTATAGCTTTCAGTTATCAGGCTCCTCTCTTGTGGAACCAACTTCCAGTTTCTGTCCATGAGGCTGACACCTTGTGTACTTTTAAAATTAGGCTTAAGTCTGTCCTTTTTGATAAATCCTATAGTTAGGGATAGATTGGGCTTCCTGAGTTATCCGTAAGTTATGCTGCTATAGGCTTAGACTGCTGAAGGACAAACTGACCACATTTCCTCACCCTGTTGTTGTCTTGTCTTGCTCTACTCTACCTGTTTGTAATTATGTTTGTCCTTAACGTATTTTTCGTCTTTCTTCCAATCGAAAGTACACCTGGACCTGCCACTCTGTGTTTGTTTCTCCTTCTTTTCCTTTCAAACTCAGACGGTTGAAGCAGAGGCCGCTCGTCTGAGCCTGGTTCTGCTGGAGGTTTCTTCCTGTTAAAAGGGAGTTTTTCCTTTCCACTGTTGCCGTTGTGCTTGCGCAGGGTGGGGGACTGCGACAAAGTGAAGATTCAATGCAATATGCTGGCTTCCTTAGACTACTTTTACTAATCGGTGTCTTTAATTTATGTGAATGTTTATGTACAGTACATAATCTGTTGTGACTTAGCGCTATACAAATAAACTGAATTGAATCAATCCAATGCTCTGATATTTGGTCCTTACTGCAGATCTTGTAGGATTCATGAAAGAATCTGATCCCTGCCACCTTCATCCCTCCTGTTTTTACTCACACATCTCCATATGAATGTGTGGGTCTTGGTCTGGATGAAGTTTCCCACAGTTTGAACCAATTAGAGAGCTCGGTTGAGGAAAAAGAAATCTGGCCCGCCGCACGCTTAGTGTTGGTTTCGGTCCGGGACAATAGTTTGATCTCAGGGGAACAGCTGGAGAAGCGTTTAGAGAATCTGAGAACGTGGCGACCCTGCAGAGAGCAGATCAGAGCACACCTCCTTTCATCAACTCCCCTTTAACTAAAATACATGTACCATAGTT